TATCAAAATAGAACTATATTGAAAATGGTCATTTACTAGAACACTCCTATAATTTACATATTTACTTAAACCTAATTTATAGTTTGCATTTTACTAAAACACCCCTTATAGTTTATAACCTATTTACTTAATCAATCTTTCATTTTGTTTTGCCATATGAAAATAGTAATGTGATCACCTAAACTAGGTGGACCCATGGTTGTTTATTCCAAAAGTACCCCTAAATTGAGTGAAAAATGTTCAAGGGTATAGATCCATAGTTGGTTATTCCAAAAGTACCCTTAACACTTTTTTGTATAGAAAACAAAATTGACCAAATTGAGAAAAATAGAGTGGTTGTCCATGTTTTATTAGGGGATGTTTTAGTAAAACACATCTCATGGAAGGTGGCCGTGACAGTGGTTGACCAAATTGAATAGATGTTAGTGTTAACATTGTCATTTTCAACTTTCATTTGATGGAAGGTCGATTAAGTAAATTGATTGAAAACTATTGGGGATGTTTTAGTAAAACACATCACATGGAAGGTGGCCATTACAGTGGTTGACCAAATTGAATGGATGTTAGTGTTAACATTGTCATTTTCAACTTTCATCTGATGGAAGGTCGATTAAGTAAATTGATTGAAAACTATAGGGAACGTTTTAGTAAAACACAAATTATAAGGTAAGTTTTAGTAAATTCATAAAACTATAATGGGTGCTTTAGTAAACAACCCTATATTTAAAAGACTTTTTGCAAAAAAAATGATCAAGTTTGGTCAATTGATAATTTTAGTTATGTTTTAGAAACAATAGCAAATTGAGTGAGCGGGAGAAAACATGAATTTTTAGGACAAAATTACCCTTTTGTTAAAAATAGAATCCATCGAATCCAAAAAGCATTCATGTTTTGTTCGTCTTCTCCAAGTTCGAATTCGACTCCATCCATTCAAACTACGGATGGCTAGAGTCGATGACTTTAGATTGGGAAGCATCGACTCCATCTGGCTGGGAAGCATTAACTCGATCAATTCAAACTACGGCTGGCTAGGAAGCATCGACTCCATCCATTCAAACAACTTCAGATTGGGAAGCGTCGACTCCATTTGGCTGGGAAGCATCAACTCCATCGATTCAAACTACGACTGGTTGGAAAGCATCAACTCCATCTTCAAAGCAAGTGTACTAGAGGAAGGTGGTGAATGATAATGCCACATCGGCTAAAACAACAGGGCAATTGAATAAAGCTTATAATGCTTTTCTCTGTGATTAATACCCAAATTAACTACATATCTACTTATATGATCAACAACAAGAATAGATTTTGTGCCTAAACTATCTAGTATGGAGCAACCTGGGTGGTGCTTAACAAATTTAGACACCATCCAGCATGGGGAAGACCGGATGGTTTATTACAAAGTTGGAACCATCCGGCATTACACATACCAAATGGTTTATTATAGAATTGGAAACCATCCTGCATCACACAGACCGGACAATGTTTTACAAAGTTGGAAACCATCTGGCATTACACAAACCAAATAGTGTTTTACATAATTGGAAACCATCTAACATTACAATGACCAAATGGTTTATTACATCTTTGAATCTTCAATTGCAATTGTAAATTTCAGCCCCTCAGGTGATAAAATAGTATTTACACTCTCAAAATCATCTAAAGCCCAACATTCCATAAGGTAGTATATGATTCTCACAAGTGTATAAACCATCCAACATGGAGAAGACCGGATAGTTTATTATAGAGTTGGATACCATCCGGCATTACACAAACCGGATTATTATTTACAATTTTGAAACATGATTTTTTTGAATGCTTTTTGAAACATAAATTATAGTTGCAAACATCGATCCCTCCACATCATAGTTACACCACCAAAATCATTTAGAACCCATTAAACCTCTTATTCTGTACGATTCTTATATGTTTATAAACATAGAAACCATCTGACACTAAATAGATTGGATAATTGTATGCAATTTTGATACATAAATTATAGTTTTGAACATCTATTACACCATCAAAACCATTTAGAACTCAATGAACCTCTTGGTTTTATATGATTCTCATATTTGTAGACTTAGAAACCCAAATTACACCATCCATCTTTTGGGCAAGTGGCCATCCCACAATGTTAAAGCACACAAGCCATGTTTGTGCACGACCATAAATTTTTGCCTCTAATGCTTCTACTAGGACTTCTTTAGCATTCAAATCATCATATGGTTGCCATTTATATAATTCAAAATCTAGAGTCCTATGTATATTAACTCATTTTATGAGCTATTATATACTGATATTTTGGTCAAGAAATTATAGCTTCTTCAGCATTCAAATCATTATATGGTTGCCATTTATATGATTCTGGCAACTATTCATTTCCAAATTTGTATTGACTTTTAAGTCTTACTTCTTTTACTTATATTTTGCAAATACTCAATAAATCATCATTTACTTACATTTTGAAAAGAAGGGATTTCTTTCATTCTTTAAACAAAAGAATACACAATCAGAATTTGACCAATAAAGCACATCAATTACTTAAACAATGAAATACAAATACAAAGAAACAACAAACAAAAAATAAAATATGTAAAATCTCCCTGGGCTAATTAAAAAGAGTTGGAGAAACAATAAACAAGAAAAAAAATAAAGGGAATGGGACCCCAAATGGAGGTTAGAAGAAGAAACCCCTTCTTGCTAACTTTGAAGTTTGCAAGAAGACAAACAATCAAACAGTAATTTAGAACTCGAACTTGGAGAATGGAACCCCAAATCACTAAAACTCGAATTTGGACGGAGAATGGGACTCCAAATCGCTTGAACTCGAACTAGGAGGGATATTGCTTTGAAGATGGAGTCTTCCTAGCCAGTTGCAGTTTGAATCAATCGAGTTGATGCTTCCCAGCCAGATGGAATCGATGCTTCCCAATCTGAAATTGTTTGAATGGATGGAGTCGGTGCTTCCATCCAGCCGTAGTTTGAATGGATAGAGTCAAACTCAAACTTGGAGATGCTTCCAGCCAATTGCAATTTGAATTGATGGAGTTGAACGAACGAAACATGTATGCTCTTTGGATTCGGTGGATTCTCTTTTTAACAAAAGGGTAATTTTGTCCTAAAAACTTCACATTTCGTTCCACTTATTCAATTTGTTATTATTTTTAAAACATAACTGAAATTGTCAATTGACCAGAGTTGGTCTTTTTTTTGCAAAAAAGTACATGTTTAAACATATTCAATATATATATATATATATACTTTACACTGAACCTACTAAAGATAAACAATTGTATAAACATATAATTTTTGTATATATTTTAATAATGTAAAAATATACGAATTTAGTATAAAAAATTTAGATCCATATTAATCCGTACCCATCCATACATGGATCGGGTGAGATGCAAAGGGAAATAGTGGAATGGGCCTGACTTGCCAGGATTCAATAATGCCCAAAGAGGAGTAATGTTGTTCCAGTAGAAGATTCCATTTCATGTGGCAATGGGATCTCCCTACGCTCCTTCCTTTGATACATAAACAAGGCGAGAGAGAGAGAGGTCAAGTGTGTGAACTGGGTGTCCCAACTGGGGGTGTCCACTCCAACCGAAAAGAAGTTCATATGGAGCCAAACATCTCCTCCCATTCCAACTCTGCTTTATAGACAACTAGGCAGGATCCATCTATTCCACCCAACGTCTCGAGACCGGCAGCAGAGTTGACTCGCCCACAACTGTAAAACTGTACTCATTCACTCATCCCCCACTCCCCCACATGGACCAATCGCAACCCTCTCACCTAACTCTCAATGCCTTCCCCAACGGAATCCGCTTTTCTCCCTCAATCATTTTTGGTCCAAAATGAAACCGAACCGCTCAGAGGTGTCCCTGATGTCAACGGCCTGGTTCGGGTCCTACCCGAATCCACATCATCACAATACCCACCCACCCCTACTATATGAAGAGGGCCTATTGGCCAATGTCAACGGATTGGGTTTGGCAAAAGTCGTCCTGACTCAATCAGACCCCAAACCCTGATTAGTGTGGGTTTTACCACATAACCCAACCCATCAACGAGTTCAGATCTATTGATCATAACACATTGCTCGTCATGTTCATCTAACCGCATGTTGAAAATAATCATAGACTACAAAACAATCAATGTTCCATATGTGTGGTTGGGTGAATGTGACCAACAATGTATTGTGCCAGTAGATCCAAACCCATTAACATCTTTATGTTTAGAGCTGTCAATGGATCGGGTTTGATTCAGGGCAGGGTGTACCAATTCCAAATCAATTATCAGCTTTATATGATAAATCCAAAACCATCTTAATTATTAATCGAAACAATATTCCGACCTAATTAGATCCGATTTATACTTGACAACTATAATTACATGTGATAATAACATTTTAAACTTTATTTTTGCTAAAATAACTAAAATAGTAGATTGTTTATCTATCAATAAAACAAGTGTTCTTAACCAAAAGTGTCACATATATCTGTATTTTACCATTTTGAATATAAAATGTAACAAAAATTACAAGAAAACCAGGAGGTGTAAGTGGTTCAGAACTGCAACAGCCGGCCCCGACCTAATTATGAACCAGAACTTACCAAATCGATTCGGTCGTTCGTTCTATCGGGTAGGCCCGACCCATTGAGAGCCCTACTTAGTACTTACGTCCGAGTTGGTATTTCGCAACACAAACGTGCAAACGAGGCGGTTTTTGGTAAAATACAAAAGTTTTGAGTCAGGATCAGAGTCTCCGTTAGTTTTACCGCTTTGCACAGTTAGCGCAAACTATGGTAAAATTTCGGGGTTAAACTTTAACTGCAGTAGTAAAAGTAGGGCTAAAAAGTGGTGTGAGGATAAAGACGTTATTGGGGTGACCGAACAAATAGGGATTTTATTGCCGGCCCTCTCTCTCTCTCTCTATTTAATCTTAATTTAATCCAAATCCAGCTTCCTCTGTTTTCTCTCTCTAACGGTATAAATAACGGCATGTTTGGCAATTTCTCGTCTCTCCCAGCTCGACTCTTGTTCAGAGAGAAAGATAGAGAGAAGCTCTGAAATTCTATCAAACAGATTTGAATCTCTCGAGGGGGCTTCCTAAGAGTTTTTTTTTTTCTTTGTTTTCTTTGAAGACCCGGAACATTTTTCAAGCAGAGATCTTGCCATTCCGGCGGGAAAACGTTGTTCTTTATAGGAGAAGCGGGTTATCTGATGTAGATCTTGAGCTTTTTCATTTTTCTTCAGAGTTCAGAGAGTGTTTGGAGATTTTGGGATTCTTGTGGGGTTCGGCTTCTGTTAGAAAAATTGGGAATTTTTTGGAGGCAATCTAGTGCTTGAACCGGAGGGGCGAATGGTGGTGAAGATGATGAAATGGCGGCCATGGCCACCACTTTTGTCGAAGAAATTCGAGGTGAAGCTGGTGCTGAGGAAAATGGAGGGGTTTCACGTTGGAACGGGTGAGGAAGAGAAGACAGGGGAGGTTCCGAGATTAACGGTGGAGATCAGATGGAAGGGTCCTAAGATCGCTCTGAGTTCTTTGAGGCGGACGGTGAAGAGGAACTTTACTAAGGAGGAGGAAGCGAGGAGCGACGGGATTGTTGAGTGGAATGAGGAGTTCCAGAGCGTTTGCAGTCTTTCGGCTTACAAGGACAATGTGTTTCATCCCTGGGAGATCGCATTTACGGTCTTCAATGTAAGTTTGATTTGGTTGCTTTTGCTTCTTTTTGAGGCTCCATCTTCTTTTAATTTTCAGCTGATCGTTGGGATTTTCGGTTTTAAGATATTAGGAGGAAAACAACTTCCGTTATGTCAGTCTTTCGTTTTTTCTTTTCTTTTTCTCAGTCCTATTTTTCGTTGATGGTGTTTGTGGGGTTTATTGAAAGAAAGATGAATCTTTGTTGTTATATTTACTACTTTTCAAGTTTGATTTTTTCCTTCCGGCGTAAACTGGGGTGGTCTGTCGATCTTGTTTAAGTTTCATTGAGAAGATTAGGGTTCTGATGATGATCATATTGCACCTTTCCCACTGTTTTGGGTGAAATATGGCGGCTTTCTACTGCCCAAACTTATAAATTTTGGCAATATTTTGCTGAAATTTCCATGTGATGAAGTATTTATTTTCTTTCAATTCTTACTCTCTATTTGATGCCTTCAATGTTTTCTTTTTGGTGAAATGGGAGCCTTTATATTCTTATTAATATAAATTAATGTCTGACCCTTTACCTGGATTTTCATAATTGATGTTTTCTTTTCACGGAATTTATTCACCTTTATCCTTATTTCTTACTCTTTGGAAGGTCGTCACATTTTATTTCTATCTGTAAAATTATTTGGAATTTAAGATTGTATTAGTGATCTCTTTTTCTAGTTTTTAGATTGAGTTATGTCCTGTTCCAGGCTTTTTTTGTTTGATAGGTATTCGGGCTTTTGTTTGGTTTATTTGCAATTTTTGTGGTTTAGGTTGAGGATCAGAATTTTGGTGCACTTTTGGGATATAAGGTTCTTCTTGCTTGCAGGGGATCGGATATGAGGTCACTTGTGTTGGGATTTGTGGTGAATATTTGTTGGGATCATTGGGAAATTGATTAATGAAATAAATTGATTTTAATTCCACGTTTGGAACTTGGAATAGTAGGAAAGTTGTCGATATTCTTCTATGTTTGTTGTTCTGGAATCTTATCAACTTGGAGATCGTGACTATCCTTGCAATAAAGAAAGTTGCTAGCTAATTATAACCCATACATTGTGCAAGCCCCCAAACCTGAATTGATATTTGTTTTTAAGCCAGTGATTAAAAATCATTTAGGCAAGATTTTCATTCTAGTGTAATTGATTTGGGGGGGGGGTGGATTCCATTTCCCAAATTTGAGCATAAAATATGCCCATCTTCATAATTAGATTATATTAGGTCTCAGCCATGCTTCAAGTAAGTTTTGCCCAAGTCAATTTTTAAAGGTCATGGATTGGGTGTGGTCCTAACCTCCAATACTTTTTGCATGAAGTGGTTGACATCAGATGGCAGTGTTTAATGTCCTCGAGGCTTTATACCTCATTAGTTTGTCTTTCCTACTTGATGACTACACTTTCTATCCTTCTTTCACTGTCTGGAGCCAAACTGCCATTTCAACACCAGATATATAGGTTTTTTGAGGTAGAAATTCTTCAATTTAAAGGTTTTCAAGTATTCTCTAGACTTGTATTTTTTCTGTTATTGGTTCATTTTTTGTTCTGTTTTTCACCCTTTTACTTTTCTGCATGTGCCACAGTGTCAGTTCTGTTTCTTTGTTTTAATTGCAGAGCTCAAGCAATGGTTTATAAGAGTCTTTGTAGTTTGAAGTAATGGTCATACGTTTTATTTTTGAATGCTACATCGGTCAAGAAAGAAAGTATTTTTGTAGACAAAATTGGGCTTCTTAATGTTTTTTCTAGCTTTCTCTTGCTTGATTTTGATAATGTAAATGGTTAGTTCTTTTCTAACTTAGAATAATTTAGATTGGTTTAGTTTTGATTTGTTTTCTTCTTTATCCAGGGCTTGAAACCAGGGCCAAAGAACAAGGTTCCTGTTGTTGGAACAGCATTATTAAACATTGCAGAATTTGCTTCTGCATCTGAAGAAAAGGAGCATGAAATAAACATCCCTCTCATTCTGGCTAGTGGCACTGCTGATTCTCAACCCTCTCTTTATGTATGTGCTTTCTATTGTATCTATTTTCATAAAATTTCCAGTTATAACATATTTTTTCTTGACTCTCCTTTTCTTGCCATTTTCCCTTCAATTATGATCATGAGCTTTGTCTTTGTCACAGTTATCTCTCAACTTATTAGAATTGAGAACCACCCAAGAACATGCAGAGACAGTGGCACGGTCAATAGTTCCTGTTCCACTGTCACCCCGATCTGGAGAATCTGTCTCAACGGAGAGAGATGAGCTTTCTGCTCTCAAAGCAGGTCTGAGGAAAGTAAAAATACTGACAGAGTATGTATCAACGCGAAAAGCTAAGAAGGCATGCCATGAGGAAGAGGACAGTGAGGGAAAATGCTCCGCAAGGAGTGAGGATGGTGAATATACATACCCATTTGACACAGACTCCCTTGATGATTTTGATGAAGGAGAGCTAGAGGAAGGGAAGGAAGATTCTAGTGTTAGGAAGTCATTCAGTTATGGAACATTAGCATATGCTAATTTTGCTGGGGGATCATTTTACTCTGACAAGAGGTTCAATGGGGATTACGAGGACTGGATTTACTACAGCAACCGCAAATCAGATGCGAGCTGCTTGCATGTTGAGGACCCAGTGGCGTCAGTCTCTGATCAATCTAGTTCAAAACGAAGCATCCTACCTTGGAGGAAGAGGAAGCTGAGCTTCAGATCTCCTAAGCCTAAAGGGGAGCCACTGTTGAAGAAAGCATATGCAGAAGAGGGTGGGGACGACATTGATTTTGACCGCAGGCAGCTTAGCTCATCTGATGAGTCCTTTCCTCTAGGGGTAAGCATCCACATTCCACCCTTACCTGGTTTGCTACATTTCCTGTACTAATTGCTAGTCCTAGTCCTTTTGGTAGAGTTCTGAAAGCAATAATTGTTCCATAATTTGCATCTTGAGAGATTGATATTGAGTGATCTTTTCATGATCAATTTAGTCAGAGTTAGTGGTTGCATCAGCTTCAAATTTGAAAGTAAGACCCCCAAGAGTGGAGTTTTTGCCCATATTAATTACAACAATCAAAAAGAAATTACTGAGCATTCAATAGTTGCTTGTGCTTTTGAGCATTCAAGAATCAGATTACAATAATTTTTTATTTCCTTTTTTTGTTATGAAATTATTCCAAGTTTTGAATCCTAAGAAGCTAGCAATCATTTGACAGTGGCACAAGGCTGATGAAGATTCAACTGCAAATCGCTCCTCAGTGTCTGAATTTGGGGATGACAATTTTGCTGTGGGAAGCTGGGAACTTAAGGAAGTAATAAGCCGTGATGGACACATGAAGCTCCAAACTCAAGTCTTCTTTGCTTCCATTGATCAACGGAGTGAGCGAGCTGCTGGTGAAAGCGCATGTACAGTTCTTGTTGCTGTAATTGCTGATTGGTTCCAAACCAACCAAGATGCAATGCCAATCAAATCTCAGTTTGACAGCCTCATCAGGGAAGGCTCCCTAGAGTGGAGAAACCTATGTGAGAATGAGACATATAGGGAGCGTTTCCCAGACAAGCACTTTGACCTTGAGACAGTCCTCCAGGCCAAGATCCGTTCTGTATCTGTTGTCCCACGGAAGTCTTTCATTGGATTCTTTCATCCAGATTGGATGAATGAAGGGGGTTTTGATTTTTTGCATGGTGCAATGTCCTTTGACAACATCTGGGATGAGATCAGCCGTGCTGGGTTGGAATGTCCCAATAATGGGGACCCCCAGATCTACATTGTCAGCTGGAATGACCATTTTTTCATTCTCAAGGTTGAACCAGAAGCTTACTACATAATTGACACGTTAGGAGAGAGGCTTTTTGAAGGATGTAATCAGGCTTATATCCTGAAATTTGACAGGAATACAACAATCCATAAAATTCCAAACGAGGCACACCAATCGGAGGAAAAACCTGCTGGTGATCAACAGGTAGTTCCGTCTGGGGAATCTGGAATGCGGCAGGTCCAGCAGAACAACTCCAAGGAAGTTCCGGCAGCAGGGTCTGTAGTACTAACAAAACCAGATGAATCTGGAAACAGTGAAGCTGAAGAGGAGATCGTGTGCAGAGGGAAGGAGTCATGTAAAGAGTATATAAAGAACTTCTTGGCTGCAATCCCCTTGAGGGAATTACAGACAGATATCAAGAAGGGGTTGATGGCTTCTACACCTCTGCATCACCGGCTGCAAATTGAATTCCACTACACAGAGTTCCGACAGCCAGCACCTGAACCTCCAGCGGCAGAAGTAACAGCGGCAGAAATGGGGGTGGCAGTAAAGGAGGCAGCCTGCTAGGAGAGTTGTGTAAATTTTAGGGGGAAGTGTGTGACTATTCTAATCTTTTTTTTTCTTATAATTGTTGGTAATGTGGGGTAGATTTTGAGTTGAATGGGTCAAGGAAAGATGAACCCATTTAAGTTTTGTTTTGAGTGCTTTTTTTTCTTTCTTGTAGAGTGCTCTTATTCTCTGTGCCTATAAGAGCATCTATATCAAATGTGTTTTATGTCTATGACAGACCTATGTCTTATTATTTTTTCCTGTTTATTCTGGGTAACAAAGGGTACTGGGATGGTGGCCGTGTACATGACTGTGGATTTGATGTTTATTAACTTTATTTCTCCAGATGTAACTTCTAATATCCTACTGTAATTTTTTTCTCTGAACTTCAAGATTATTCCTTTCAGGGATTTCATGAAAATTTAGCTCTTATTTCTTAATTCTTAGTACTTGTGGTTTCTAGTATACCTGTCAATGGGCAAATGGATCTGTTTGAAAACTCAGTTCTTTATTCTCATTGAAAACTTTCAGTTTTTTCTTCTGAGTTTTTTTAGGTGCTCAACAAAAACCGAAAAATCAAATCAAAAAATCTGCTGAACCTAACTGATTGATTCAATATTTTTCAAATACTGGTGGCACTGGTTCAGTTTTAGTTAACAAATATATATACCAATCAATCAAAAACTGAATCGATCATGGTTTTGGTTTAATTTCAGTTCACGTTTTTTTCAAAAACCTGTGGAACCGGTTTCAAGAAAAAGCTCACATCATGAGATGAGACCAATGTCGATGGGCAAACGGGTCTATTTGAAATGGCCCCAGACAAGAGATGGCTGGATTAAAACGTAGTACAAAACAAACCACTGATCCTTGAAGTGCTCTTCACTTTCCAGTGGTCGCGGTTTCATGTATCTGCTCTCAAGTGTCAACAACTACACCAAGTGCTGATATGAGCTTTTCAAGGTGAAATTGACCTTTTCTTTGAAAGCTGATTTTTTTATTGCTTCTGTCATTTCTAAGAAATCCATTTTCAGATGATAGAACTTGTACCTGGTTATTTTCCATTCAAGGATACGACTTAAACATGAATTTGGCTCTAACTCAAGTAATTTTCCAGATATATATGCTTTCTAATTTGACTCTGTAAATTGATAAAACCATGGTTTTTAAAAACGACCCCGAGACCGAACCGCCCGAATCAGTGGTTTACTGACCAAAATCAACAGTTTTGAGCAAATTTCTAGTTTTAGGGAAAACTGAAACCGGTCACCTTACCAGTTCCCGGTTTTGAAAACCACGGATAAAACTATCTTATTTTTCCTTCATGTTCTGTTTGTGGCGATGGAATTGGAGTTTTGGTTCCAATGAACTAGAAATTTTCTATCAAAATGAAAACTTTTGACTTTGTATTTCTCAAAATCTTCTTCCATTGTCATCTTTTTATGTATAAAAGAAATTGGAGATACTTAAAAATTTTTGTTTTTATGTATCATGTTTTGGGTTGTTTGATGATTTTGGTGGTTGTCATCTGGAAATGTTTGTTGAAAATTAATTTTATATATTTTTAAATAATAAGTTTTCTAATGTGTTTTTCGCATATAATTGTTTATAACTTCCAAACAATTTTTAAATCCCTTGTTATAAGAAATATCATAAATAACGATTCTTTGTAAGGCATAAAACTATAGAAATAAATACTCTTCCGAGGTTTCAAACTTTCAATATTTTGATCACCAAACAATTTCACTGCATTCAAAGATTCAGAACAACAGAGAACAAACTTCTAATAATTCAAAGCTCGAAGATGTTTCCGAAACTTTTTTAATCAGATTTCAGCCAAAGACCAACATCAAAAGAAATATATGAATTAAAATGTAGTCCTCTCAAGGGGTTGAGACTTAGTTCCAAACCAATAAATAAATATGCAGAACCTATCCCAAACCAGAATCTACTGGCTGTCTGACTCAATTATAAATTATGTTAACTGAGACTCTGAGAGTATCAGGTTTGACCTAATAGACCTTATTATAATTTATGGTATATATATATTATATTAATAAAATAATATATAATTATATTATATATGTTAAATATATATATAAGTATTAATTTTTATTTTTATTTTTATTTATAAAAATATTAAAAATTGGGATTTGAGGTCAAAAACCCTTTTTTGATAAGAATAGCGGGCAAGTCATATTGGGAAAAGCTGCACCAAATTGATATAAAGATTATCTCAATCAGAGAACTGAATGCAAAATCATAACCTTTGAATTTTTTTATTAAAGTCAGATTATGGCCAAGTGATAATTCAACCATCCGGATCAACAGCGGGTTGGGAACAATGATTTTAATCCTTCTTCAATTCATTTGGTTGTTGCCGGAGATATGATAATATTACAAATATTAGGGGCATCTTTGTAAATATATAATTGGTTGGGATCTTATCCAACCCCAGGTGCCAACCCTGAAACACGTGGCAAAGTAAGGGGACCCACATAGGGATACACTCATACACCTGATGTAAATATGGAAGTGGGGGTCCCATCAAATGTGCACGTGGGCCACATCGTAGTACTGCAATTCTGGGCCTGATTACTTCAGCGAGAAAAAAGGTGGCCAGTGGACAGTGGCCACCACACTAGTCCGATTCTTGGCCTGGGGGAGTGTGTGGGCGTCAGGCATGTGATGTGAGCAGAAACAGAAGCTAAGAAGAATAAATGTGCCTTTCCCTCCCTTCTTCACTAATTACTACCTTGCTTTGTTTTACAGGGAAGCTAGCTCAGAGCAGAAGAGCTATTCAATGGGACAAACCCTTGGATACTGTGGATTCGTTTTCCAATGTGGTTTGTAAAGGAAAGGTAGACCGTTTGAGCTTTGAAGTTTGAACTTGTAAGGAAGGAAAAAAAGATTCTTTGCTTTCTTATTCACCTTTCTGTTAAAACCCCTCTCTCTCTCTCTAGGTATAGTAAAGTTTTTTACAGCCTGTCTGTCACTTGTCTCTCTCCGTTGGAGTATCAAACAAACAAAGAAGTTTGTTGGGTTTTGGGCTTAAAAGCTTGGACCAAATTTGACCCAAATTGATTAACAAGGATTTCAAAAAGGAATCCAACTTTTGCTCCCATTTTCTGCAGAAATTCTTCCAAAAAGTTTCATGGGTAGCTGATTGTTGTTTGCGGGGCCCCTCACCAGATGGACGGTCTGGATCTTCCATGTCATCTATATTTCATTTAAGCAGAGGATGTGTACCTCTGAGTACCTCAAATGTGCATTATCCAGCACGACAGACAGTCATTGGCTTTGCAAATGTATTGGATTCAGGTGAGATATTTTAAGAGCAAACCCATTTTTACTCAATGGATCTATCATCTATGGGCCTCCGATGTTAATAGAGATTAAAGAAGCCTACGAGAGTTAAAAGTCAAACTGACAAGAAAGGATACTTTGGGCACTATTGTGGTCATGGACATTAACCACCAACCATCAAAGAAGCTTCCTTTAGGCCCGATCTACTTGAATAGCTGTCCTCGGTGGACCGTAGATCCAACACCATTTCATCAATGAACTCTTAGTACAGTTACAGTAGCCTCATCGGAAACTTCAGTCAATCAAACAATGGGTCGGGCAGACCCGATAGACCCGAACCTAAGTACCTAATCAACTTAATTATGTTTTTTTTTTTTCTTTTTAATTTCTTTTAAAGGGCTACACAGTGGGATAACCCATCACCCAACTCATAACCCTCCAAATCAGGTGCAGGTGAGATTCGATCCTAAGTTTCCGCTACGACCAACAGGAGACCTGATCAATCATCTGTTGGCACCTTGCAACCAACCCAATTATGTAGCGTTTGGATCTGCAATATATGTCCCAATTAGAATTACAACGGGATATAGGCATAAAACAGGCCAAGGCTGGGCAGCCGTGGGCTGGCACAGCCCACAACCCTTGGCCATGCTGGGCCAGGGGTTCAGGCCCATGGGTTGGAAGGCCCCTGGCCCATATAGGCCCATGCTAGAACAACAGCCTACGTGCCTGGCACAGTATAGCCCGCGGAATGGTGCAGAGAAAATGAAAATCATGCTCGCCTACGGACCAGGCCCCGGGCTCATATCAGGCTCCCCTCTCTGTGAATGGCCCAGCCCGACCCACTACAGGATGGCCCGGAAATGTAGGCCATTCCAGCCCACATTACTCTTAGTCACCTATAGAACAGTGGTTTTAGCTGTTTTTTAACCAATTAAGATCCAATAAGGCTGCAACTTGGGTCGGGTTAGCTCAGACCCAACCCGAAAAAGTCAGGTTGATGCTCAAGTTAGGGTTAGGGTTGAAATTTATGATTCCGATTTTACTTTGGATTGGGTTAGAGTTGACCCCTCATGCAACCCAACCCAGCCTAAACCCGACTCTATGGTACATATCATATATATAATTGGCTTGCTTAGATGCATGGTAGTTGTATAGCCACCACCACATACTATCATTTATTTCATTTAAGATAATCACTTCACCTATGCCTAATTGGAAATACTAAAACCTTGATAATATATTTTATGTTCTCTAAATATTTTATTCTTTATCTCCTCTCTGTTATTTGCCACCCAATCACCCATAGCTTGCTGCCTATAAAAATCTATTATAAGTCACCATAAAAACTATAGTTATTTTAAACACTTTTTTTCTCGAATTTTGTACTTAAAGAACCAATCAAAACATGGGATAAGTAGGCTACACTCCACCTTAGAATTCTAAATTCCATTATAGACCTACAACAATTCAAAATTTCAAACACCTCCACCTATAACACCAATACCAACCCATGTATTGGCATCAATTCCGATGTGGCACCTACCCCAACTGTACGATGGAGCTAAGATTTGTGGGGGTGGACTAAATAGTAAAAACCCCTAAAAACATTAACAAACAAATACTAATAAAACATATGATTAATATCTATTATCTATATATTAAAATATCATTTTGGCTGTGTTTTTTTATTCTAATGGTCGGACCGTCAATAAAAACACAACAGTGAAGAAATTCTCTTTTTTTTTTGAATTTTCTATTTTTTATTCCATGTCATTTTTTAAACAATCAATGATATGCTCTCCTTCCCCATAAAAATTACCTAAAATCTCTCTCTCTCTCTCTCTCCACACGTTCCTAATAACCTAAATAATATATTCTCCTAAAATACCCCCCTAATATCCCTCGCTTTCTCCTAAATTATATTCAATTTAATAGATATTTCTCTCCTAAAATATCTATAATCCTATTTATCTTCTCCCCCACTTTTTATCTATATTTATCTAAAGAAAGTTTGAATTAAAAAATTATTAAATATTCTCATTAAATTATGTAATAATTTCAAATATTTATTGAAAACACAAAAAATAG